TTCCGAAGAGCATCGTCAATCTGACTGGCCTTCAGCTCATCAACCTCTCGTACAACCAGTTCTCCGGTCAGGTTCCGGCGAGCTTTGGCGAGCTCCAAGAGCTCGAGTTCCTCTGGCTCGACTACAACCTCTTATCAGGACCACTGCCTTCGGCGCTCGCCAATTGCTTGGGGCTCGTGCATTTGAGCGTTGAAGGCAATGCGCTCAGCGGCGTGATACCGGCGGCGATCGGAGCTCTACCGAAGCTTCAAGTGCTCGCGCTTTCACAGAATACTCTCTCTGGTACTGTCCCCTACTCAATGTTCTGCAACGTTTCGGTTTTTACGCCGTCGCTTCGAATCGTCCAGCTGGGGTTTAATGCGTTCACGGATATCGTGAAGCCCGAGACAGCGAGTTGTTTTAGTGCTCTGCAAGTTTTGGATCTTCAACACAATCAGATTGGCGGCGATTTTCCTTGGTGGTTAACACAGGTATCAAACTTGACAATTCTCGATGTTTCTAGTAACTCATTTTCTGGTGTGGTGCCGCCAGAGATTGGAAACTTAACCAGATTAGAGGAGCTTAAAATGGCTAATAATTCATTTAGCGGTCCGATTCCTGCAGAGATTAAGCAATGTAGCTTACTGCGCGTGCTTGATCTCCAAGGGAATCGATTTTCGGGTGAAATTCCTTTGTTTTTGGGTGATTTGAGAGGTTTGAAGGTGCTGTCCCTGGGGGAAAATCAGTTCTTGGGTTCAATTCCTGCAAATTTTCCCAACCTTTTGGGGCTGGAGACTTTGAGCTTGAGAGGGAACCAGTTGACTGGAACTTTGCCTGAGGAGGTGCTTATGGGGTTGGGCAATTTGACCACATTGGACCTCAGTAGGAACAAGTTTTCTGGTGAAGTTGGCATCACTATTGGGAATTTGAGTCAGCTAATGGTTCTGAATCTAAGTGGTAATGGCTTTTCTGGGAGGGTTCCTAGCAGCTTGGCCAGTCTTTTCAGGCTTACAACTATTGATTTGAGCAAACAGAACTTCTCTGGTGAGCTACCTTTTGAGCTTTCTGGGTTACCCAATCTGCAAGTTATTGCATTGCAAGAGAACAGTTTGTCTGGAGATGTTCCTGAGGGCTTTAGTAGTTTGATGGGCCTGCATTATTTGAACCTCAGTTCCAACGCATTTTCTGGTCATATTCCGGAGAATTATGGTTTTCTTCGGTCATTGGTTGTTCTGTCATTGGCTGACAACCACATTTCGGGTGTGATTCCACCAGAGCTTGGAAACTGCTCGGATCTTCAAGTTGTAGAGCTGCAATCAAACTCTTTGACAGGCAGCATTCCAGCTGATCTTTCTCACCTCTCATTGTTGAAGGAGCTTGATTTGGGAAACAACAACTTAACAGGTGAAATCCCAGAAGAAATTTCCAAATGTTCATCACTAATTGCTTTGTTACTGGAGTCCAATCATCTTTCAGGTGGCATACCAGTCTCATTGTCTGAGCTATCAAACCTAACTACTCTGGATCTTTCGAACAACAACTTGAGTGGGGAAATTCCTTGTAATCTTACATTAATTCCTGGCCTTGTGAACTTCAATGTCTCCATGAATAACCTCGATGGTAAGATCCCAGAATTGCTTGGTTCTCGGATCAACAATCCATCAGCATTTGGAGGAAATAAAAACCTATGTGGGCGGCCATTGGATCGGAAATGTGAGGATGTAGGCACCAAGAGTGACAACAGGAAGAGGCTGATTCTAATGATTGTTATTATTGCAAGTGGAGCTTGCCTATTAGCTCTGTGTTGTTGCTTCTACATCTTCAGCCTCTTCAGGTGGCGCAAAAAGCTCAAACAAAAGGCATTTGGAGAGAAGAACAGGAGTCCGGCAAGGGCAAGCTCAGGGGCCAGTGGGGGCCGTGGAAGCTCTGATAGTGGAGGTCCAAAGCTTGTTATGTTCAACAACAAAATCACACTGGCAGAGACAATTGAAGCTACCAGACAATTCGACGAAGAAAATGTGCTCAGCAGAACAAGATATGGGCTGGTCTTCAAGGCTTGTTATGCTGATGGTATGGTGTTATCGGTCCGCCGCTTCCCAGATGGAGCACTCAATGAAAACTTGTTCAGAAAAGAAGCTGAAGCACTGGGCAGAGTGAAGCACCGGAACTTAACAGTTCTTCGAGGCTACTACGCCGGGCCACCAGACATGAGGCTTCTTGTCTATGACTACATGCCCAACGGAAATCTCGCTACCCTTTTGCAAGAAGCATCACACCAAGATGGCCATGTCCTCAATTGGCCAATGCGCCACCTCATTGCACTTGGAATTGCTCGTGGCTTGGCCTTCTTACACAGTTCTGCAGTGGTTCACGGCGATGTGAAGCCCCAAAGCGTGCTTTTCGACGCCGATTTCGAAGCCCATCTGTCCGATTTCGGGCTAGACAAACTCACATTGGCAACCCCAGCTGAGGCCTCAAGCTCAACCACAGTTGGGACATTAGGCTATGTATCTCCAGAAGCAGTTCTAACAGGAGCAGTCACAAAAGAATCAGATGTTTACAGCTATGGGATCGTTTTGCTTGAGCTCTTGACAGGGAAGAGGCCGGTGATGTTTACCCAAGACGAAGACATAGTGAAATGGGTGAAGAAGCAGCTCCAAAAAGGCCAAATCACAGAGTTGCTAGAGCCTGGTTTGCTTGAGCTTGACCCTGAGTCAACGGAGTGGGAAGAGTTCTTGCTTGGAGTGAAAGTTGGGTTGCTCTGCACAGCACCCGACCCGCTTGACCGACCCACCATGTCCGATATCGTTTTCATGCTCGAAGGCTGCCGGGTCGGACCCGATATCCCCTCCTCCGCTGACCCGACGTCTCAACCGTCTCCGGCGTAATCACAAGCCCAACAAACTTTGACCTTTTCTTTTTTCTTTTTTTAATTTTTTTTAAATGTTTCTTTAACTGTAGTCTACAGTAGCTGAAGTTTTGGACTTTTTTTTTCCTTGTTTGGCTTGTCTATTTTACGCTTTTGCCCTTTTAGCACGCTCGTCTATGCCGGCCGAGCCGGGACTGTGGGGTCCGCCGGGGGATTTGAGTAAAATCCAAGATTTTCAGTCAACGAAATGGACAGGCGCAGTTAATTAATTAATTAAAAAGCCAAAAAACAGTGAAAAAGTCTGTTTCCCGCCACACACCAAGCGACGAAAGGAACTGTTTATTTGGTTTCGGGCGGGGCCATGTGGATGTGGGCTCGTGAATATATAGCCGTTAAGGTTGTGGGGTCTGAGAGGTTGCATACGCACACCCTGGCATTGGGTTTTGTGAACCCAGTTGAGCACAGATTCAACGTGATTTCGATCTGTTGGGCTGCCACGTGGGGTAATCTGCTGGCGCTAGGTTTGTTTCATGGCAGTGGACTGGAGTGGAGAGTGCAGACAAGGACGTTGAGTTCAGGTCCCACTGGATCACGACTCAATAACTCATTCCAGTACTTTGAACTTTTGGTAGGTCGTGACTCGTGACTATTTTGCATTGAATTGATTCAATTGAATCGTAGTAGTGGTGTGTCTCATTCGTCATCTAATTTGCATTCGTGGTTTGATGCTACCAAACTTGAAATTTGGCTCCAAAATGAGCCAAAATGAAATTTATATACCATAAATATTTTTGTAATATTAGAGGCACAAAAGAAGAGACAACAACCAGAAGATTCGCCTCGGAATACCCAAACATATAATAACTAAATACTAAATAAATACAACGGGAACTGGCCAAAACGCAGTGACCGTTAAGCTATGATCTTCCTCTTTTGAATGTCTCTGCTTGTTTTTTTCTTTAAAAAAAAAAATTATAATTTATTTTAATTTTGGTTTACGTTGCTTCTGATTTCCTTTGGCTAACACACAGCACGATAAGTTGTTTAATAAATATTTTCCGAAACGTTGGTCTCTGTATTCCATGTAGAAAATACGTTTTTTTTTTTACTTCTTATGGTCAATGGAAATATGTTAAGTCAATGCTTATAAATGGCATCCCAAAAAAAAAGCAAAAAAAAACTCTTGAGAATGGCTATGGTCAATGGACATAGTTGGACCTACAAATTATGCTTAAGCCTATGACTCTGTTCAACTTTGGATGTTTAAGAAAAAAACTCAACAACAGATGGGTTAAGAGAGAGAGCCCAAACAAGAGATAGTTGGGTCCAATTCCGACCCAAAACAGATTCGATCCCTAAGAATTTAAAAACTTGGCCAACGGGTTCCCACCACAGTGGTCCAATTCCGACCCCAAACCACAGTGGTGATGGATTCCCCCTCCTCCCCACATGGCACCCAGCTTGGAAACCTCAAGGGTTTCTTTTCTCCATTATGAGTCATGGTTAATAATACTAGAAAGCTCCAAATCAAACTTGAGATAATTAGCCATGGCCGCAATCAAGCTACATTTGTTTGCCAGTGCCAGGAGGACCATACAATAAGCAGCCTCTTTTCCAAACCCTTGCCCACCTAATAAAACTCCCTTCTCCTCCTCACAAACCTATCCTAACCCTCAACAATCATTTTCTCAACCTTTTTCTCTTCTCCAATTGCATTGGCCTCGGCGAACACATGGGACAAGTAAGAGTCCATCACTTTTGTCTTTGCGTTCCATGCGGAACGTTCGCACAAACTAACTCTTTTGTGGTTGTTCAGGGACGGTGGCTTGTTGCAGTCTTTAGTTTAAACTTATCGAAGGAATGCGTCAATGATTTCATGGCCTTTTTCTTTTAACAAGGTGTTTTGCTGAGTCGGAGGCTGTCCGTGGAGGGAGGGACTCATCTTGGTTCAGAGGTGAGAGTTCAGGTTCAGCGGCTTAGTATAACTGTAAGATTATGTTTCTAGAGGTCATCAATGTTTTATGCATTTCCCAGTACAATAATCTCTCAAATGATGGTAATACCATCAAATACGATGATCAGAAACATAAAACAAATTCTGTGGAGTGGAATATTCCAGAATGATGATTTCCCCATTATGTCAAAACTAATATGTAGAAAAAGGAGCAGGTGAACAACCAGCTAAAAAAACTTTATTTCAAAGACAATTCACTTCAAATTCTACAATCGGAAAAAGGATCTTCCTATGCAAGACCAATAACTTGACACAACACTGCACACTGCGAATGAGCATCACCAACCTGTGAGTAACTGAGATGCCAACAACATTCACATTCGAAGCTGGCAAGAATGCCATCTCTAATCTGCTCTGGATTGTCCGGATCGGGATGAAAGGATGATGCCGACAATGAGACCGTACAAAGCCAAAGCTTCAGCAAAGATGAGAATGAGAATCATTCCAACAAAAAGCTTTGGCTGTTGCGCATTCGCCCTGCGGAATAAACCCATTACATCAGGAAATACTAAACATTCTATCACAGAAAAGAAAAAAGATCAATTGCACAAGAAGAAAACAAGGAGCAATCCAAATGTACTGCCTGCAGAGCCAAGAACCAAAAAAACACGGCACCTAAAATCGGGAGAATAAATCTTGAAAACCCTTCGGGGAAACATCCAATTAAAAACTTGGTGCAACAACATTCATGGCAGCAAACACAAGAAGACTAGGGATTATCACTCTACCAACATGTAAAAGATTTTGTCTTTCTTCTGTAAGAGTCACTAAGAAACATTAAGAAGGGTGATCACATTTCTTTCCCATTAATACACTCATCCAATCCAATTGTATCAAAACCCAACAAACATTGTAGACTAATTTTCATTTATAGGTCAGTTCTCTTCACATTGCCTAAAAAATTCCACGTATTTCTGCCAGTCTAAATCCTTAATCAAAACCCATAACAATGCCAACAAGTTATTCAAATACCCAATTACTCAGACAAAACATAATTCTCTTCCTACGCACAAAAAAAACACAGCTTCATCCATCCAAAACTTAAACAAAAACCAGAAATGGAGGGAAAACCAAATTACCTAACACCGGCATCGCCGACGATTCCGATGGCCATGCCGGCGGAAAGTCCGGCGAGGCCGCAAGCGAGGCCTGAGGAGAGGTGGGCATAGCCATCGAAAAGGTAATAAGATTTGGCCTTTGGGTTAATCCCCGTGCTGATAATCACAGCAATGATCAAACCATAGATACCCAACACTCCCGCCATAACCACCGGAACAATCGATTTCATGACTAGCTCCGGCCTCATTACCCCCATCGACGCCACGCCCACGCCGCTCTTCGCCGTCCCGTACGCCGCTCCCATACCTGAATTGACCAAAAAGCCCGTCTAAGTCATTCAATTTTCACGCAGAAATGAAATGTGCAAATTGGAGCTAGATTTGGAGGGAAAGTTGGGGGTTTTCACTTACAGGAGAAAACTAGGGCGGCCGCCGCGCCGAGGAAGCCGAAGAATGGAGCCGTTTCGTCGCCGCTGAACGTGGATGACGCCATTTTCTTTGCTTTTGGTTTCCGATTAGCGATTTGCTTCAGCCTCTCTCAGATTTGGGAAATTTTGATCGCGGAGATTAGAGACGGATTGATTTGGATTCACACGAGCGTTTTGTCGCTTACGAGTCACGACAGCGTGTGGTGCCTCTTTCTCTGAAGCTTCAGTGGGGCCCGCTGATTGATTGGCAACGGGACAAAATGGATAAATGTTGAATTGGGTGTTTCATGGGCCTACAATACAGGCCAGCCCAATGGGTCATTTTTCTATGTTGGATCAACGACTTGTCGTTTCGCAGTGCCAACTGAAAAAATAGGCTTCCGCCATTTTTATGAGTGGTACGGGCCATAATGCCTGCAAAGCCCAATCAACAAGCCGGTTGATGCTTAACTTTGGGTGTGAGCGTGCCTTTAATTTCCCTCCGTGTTCTATTTTTACATGCATCTATGATCAGAAATTAAATTTGCACGTACAGACAACTTATCATAACAACTCATTTAAATTCTTTCTAAAATATTTATTTTCGGTAATCAATAGACAATTGCACGATGCGTATGTTCCTTTTCACTTTTATTATGAAAAGAAAGAAAGAAAAAAGACTTCCAAGAGTGAGTAAAACCACCATCATGCAAACAAGTACCACCATGACCTTTTTATTCTCATCTTCTTTGGTTTTTTTCATTAATATCCACCATCACATTCACATACCCAAATAAAAAGATGAAAAAGAATGCAAGAGTCAGTTTAAAGTAAAATAATTATGACTGGTTTGATGGATCCGTGCAAATGCTTAACGCTGAATACATTGTGATTATTAATATGCATTTAAAAAGCTCTTCCCCTTTCATCATTCTGCCTTCAAACAATTTGTTGTGGTGCAGAAAATACAATCTCCCCAACCCTGAAAAGGTTGACTTTGACCCGTTGCTCTACTTAATTATGCTTATTGAGGAGGATTAATTAATTAAACTCAGATTATTACTTCCAGAAGATGTTTACAGGTAAAAGAGAGGTGTTGGCCACACGTTGGTTTCAGATATTATTTTATGGGGTCCAAGTGTGGCCAGAGAGATGAAGGAAGCACATAAAATTACTGGGAAAATTTAAAATAAAAATAAAGAAAAAATAAAAATGGGGTATTTGAAATCTCAGTGACATTCCCCAGTGAGGCAGTGAAGCGTAATCATTCTATGATATGCTTTCCATACCTTTGGTGGTGATAAGTCCACTTCCTCTAGCATTTGAAATCTCTCTAAATTGCATCGTACTTTCTATCATTTCACAAATCCTTTTTTTTTTTTCTTATGATTTTATTTTTTTGGTTATATTGGGAGGAAAGACACATATGATTTCGATTCTGGTACCAAGTATGAGGGAAGGGGGAGAGCACAACCACTGTGGTAACCCCGCTCAACTTCTTATGATTTCTTTAATTATCTCTAAATGCTAGTTATTAATTGCAGAAAAGTGAGCCTAACATCACTCTCTATGCAGGACAGTTCCCAATTGAATTTTGCTTCATTGACTGGAAAAAAGGTAACACGCCAACAATCAGACCTTTTTGACAAACGAGCACAAACAACATGTCTAATCAGGGCCAAAATGTATCAAGAACCAGGAGAGGCATGTCTGTGCAACACAAGCAACAGATCCAACAAGTCAATTTATACGCGTTGTTATCGTCGTTGTCGTTGTCATCATTATCTATTCGACTCGGACACTCCACTGAAACCTTAGAATGATCTCATTGTTCATGAACACAGGGCAGAGTCAGGGGCAGCTCATTTGGAAACCCCCCACCATCATATAGTCTCTACTGCTGCTTGTAGCAGAGAACCCCTCACCTAACCCCATTCAACATCATGGCATCTATTCCAATCCTTTCCCAATCAATGGCCCATCTCCGCCCAATTTGCGTACCTAGAGAATTCCTGGTCAAGTTGATAACCTATCTGTCAATATCATCGTATGCTTAGCAGCTCAACTGCTGTAGTTAAAGAGTGTTTATCCCTGCATCCGAGATCCTGTGTTCGATTTTTCTTTTTCCTAATATCCGCATCGAAGAGAGAAAAAGAGCCTGTGCCAATTCTCATGAATGGTTTTCCAAATCAATCTCTCAGGCATCATACAAGTCTTCAGTTCTCATTGTTACTTCATTGGCACACTTATGAGTGCTTTGGGTTCAATCTCCAGCACTCTTCTTCTCTTTGCTGGACTTTTCACTGGTAATTATTTCAATGCCAAAAACCATCACAACTACAATATTTCTAGTTTAGGGCCATTTTAGAATGCACTGATAACCAATTTGATACCATCTTCAATCAAACCCTAACTGTCTTTTTTTTAAAATCTGATCATATAACTTGGCCACGGGATATCCACTTTAATTTGCATTATGATCAATCATCACCTCACAGAAATGACAAAATACACGTAATTTAACTTTTCCCCCTTCAAAAATCTAGAAAGGTACAAACAATTTCCATCAATTGCTAGGGTCTAGAAGGCAATATATAATTTATGTTTATGTGTGAATAAAATGTTAGAATTATTAGACGCTACAAGAAGTGCAATGATCATCCATGTCCCTGCAAGAAGCTTGTGTTTCACACCTTACAATAAAGAGAGATATTCAAGGGTCTAGTTGTATATAGACCCTCAAATACTTTTATTTGAGGACTCCCTTTAGGATCCCTTACGAATCTTTTTCAAACATCCAAACCATCTATTTTTCAAGTCTCCATTCATAGATCATTATTGCAAAAAATCAAGCAAATTGAAAATCATTAAGGCATCTAATTCACACTGAAAAAAATCAATAAACACAGTACTTCAAGAAAATACTTAAGTTTCAATAATTTAATTGAGTGATCAAATGATATTAGATTTAAGTGATTTTTTGAAAAAATGATTTTTCAATGAGTATCTACAAAATAGACTATATTTGGATTAGTAAAATATAATAAGGAGTGAGCCTTACAAGGATATTCCTCAACGAAAGCTCTCTCTCTCTATATAACTACTTACAAGTTAATAATTGAGAAAATTCATGGTCATTTTCTCTTCACCAACCACCATGAAAACCATATTTCAAAAAGAAGACATAATTTCCGTAACATAATTTGTATAGGGTAGGGTGTAATTCAGAGATTGAGATTTGAGAGAGAGAGTTTGGAGGGTGGTCGATGTCAAAAAGGGCTATAAGATCCTAATAGGACCCCCCCAAGGATCTCCTTTTGCTGCTTACGCTAACCCTAACGATATCAATTTCTCCACATTTTTTAAATTTTGTTTGTTACAAACTTTTGGATTAATAAAAAAACACACGCTTATGGTTTCAGCGATGAAGCATTTTACTTAGTTTATAAAGGATTGAGAGAAACTGTATAATTTTTTTTAATGCATTTACAATTCGATTCTATGCAATTACTCACAAACTACACGCATATTAAAAACAAAAAAGATTCTTATTTTGGTGATTGTTTGGCTCACCGCCCCAAGATAGCCTACGAAGACGAGGGTTAGAAGAGGAAAGGTAAATTTATGGTGGGGACCACAGTGAGTCTCATAAGCTCAATGTTGCGGTCCGCCGCATGATTGGAGAAACCACGGCCGACCATCACCGTCCTACGTGGACTGCACGTCCATATCACCGTTCACTATCCCCCACTCACGAGCCACAGCTTCACCAGCTTCATAGCTTGCCCTTCGTATTTTTAGTTTCCGTAACTGCCACTTCCTTTCTATTATAGTTACAAACTTACCCTCTGCCATCCCCAAACAAGTTTGCCACCTTTTCCATGCGTCAGATCAGTCAATCCATGTTCAGAATTGGGCTCACCCTGCAATTTACATCCTTGTCTTGGACTACTGAATTAGATGTTTGATTTAAAATGTTGGAAGGAGCTAGGAGTTTAATTGGTTAAGGGTATTTATTTATGTATTTAATATCGTTTATATAAATAAAAAAACATTAAGCTATCGGCATGTTTGTTAGACCGAATTAGGACAAGAATCTCGTTCCTCCTTACTTATATAATGATACTAAATAGATACACGTATAATAACATAAATAAATTAATAACATCACGTGACATTATGACTATCACATTTTTGGTTTATGAGAAATTTTAGCATTAATTATGTCGACTTATTTAACAACTGGACTAGGTAGGATTAGAATCTCACTATGCATTGCCGACATCTTCTCTCTTTTTAGCCAGAAGCAATTTTTGTGTTAACAAAAGTAAAATCAGATCGAAGTTTGAAATCTCACCTTCCCTCATGCATCAAATTACCTAAAAAAGAGAAAGGCTTAATGATTTCTATCCAAATTTAGCCTCATTGGATCACACGTGCATCATGTTTTGTTCCAAAAATTACTCAAGATTTTTGCGTAAAAAGTCTATAATTTTTCAACCCAAACAGATCCCCCTGCCACGTGGCCTCTCATTGCATGTAATGTTGCTTGACATCAAGTTGGTCCGATTTCACATCATTAGAAACTCTGTCGTTTGGCCCTGTGCACCAAATTTAAATGTGAAATGCATTGAATTGCACAAGTCTTTTCTCATTTCTTGGTCCAATATTAGGGGAAGAAGAAAGCTAGTCTTATTATTATTTATATAAGTTTCTCATAACATGAGATCCTCAATCAACATTGCCGTACAAACCTTTATTATATCAAAATGAACTTGTATCAATTTCACAAAAAACAAACCTATACTTAATTCATTGACCTTAATTCGTTGTGATTTATCTTCTTTAATACCGTATTTTTTCCTTTTCGCAAGGTTTGTTTCCGTAACCAGAAATTATACCGCTAGGCACGAAGCGCTCACATTTCATCACAAAATGATTTCCTTATGTGTGGCTGGTTTAATCTCTTGCTCAACCAACATCATTTCAAATGGAACGTTCTTTCTTTGTTATTATTTGTTCTTCCATGGAAAATGACATGCAGCAAAGAAAGCTTTTCCCTATAATATGAATTATTCAAACAAAGCTGATCAAGATGTATATATCAAAACCGCTTAGTTATACTCACATCTTTAAAACGTTTAGGCATAATAATGAAATGGATTCAGTGGGATAAGATTGTGACTTTGTATCAGAAAAAGAACTCTGTTTGTTGGCAGAAAGTAGTCCATTCAGATCGACCAAAAAAAT